CCAAAAAAAAATAAAAATAAAAAAAAATCAAGGAATGATCCAAATTTTGTAAAGAAGAAGAGGAAGAAGAGGAAGAAGTGAAAAAAGAACGTTGTGCCGAGCGTCCGCTGTGTACTGTGATTGCAGAATGCGCACGAGCCCTCGAAAGCTCTGCTGTCCCCGCTGATGTCCATGGTAGACTGGATGACGCTGTTGTCATATATTGTGAACAGTGTGGACTCAAATTCATTTGACCATCGATGTGGCGTCAATCGACAAAGGGCAAAGGGTTGGGTACAGACGGACGGGGAAGTTTTTGAATCGAGATTCGAGAGTTACTCGACATTTCGAACAGAGTCAACAGACTCTGAGGAGGAAATCCGCCGACAGCCGCCAATCCTGGATGGCACTGACGTCATATATTATTATATTGTGAACAGTGTGGATTCAAATTCATTGGGCCACCGTCTTCACCAGAGTAAAACTCGTGGTCATTATCGGTCTATGTAGACGGAACGTTGCCCCAATTACAGTTATCATTCATGACTACCTGTGGGTTAATTGAGATTTTGAGAACAGATTCGACCGAAGAAAGACGACGGGAGCCGCCAATCGGGAGACGAACAGTGCTTCGGTATTGTTAGTTTGTTGTTATTCATTTTTAAAAATGCACAGTGAATTGTTGGTGGAGAAACTTGGAAAAAAAAGAAAAAAAAAAGAACAGTGCTTCGGTATTTTGTTCGTTTGATGTTCTTATTTTTTATAAATGCACAATTTGAGTTGTTGGTGGGGAAACTTGAAAAAAAAAGAGAAGAATATTATGGAGACTCGTTGTACCCAGAATAAAATGCAGGGGAGAGCGCGATGTCATATTTCCAAAGCAGAGGGGCGCGCTCGCCGTGAGATGAGAGGTGGAAGGAAAAAAGGAGGAAAGGGAAGAAAAGGGAAGGGGTTCAGTGGATTCACCTGCGTAGGAAAAAAAAAGATTGGAAGAAAGTTGTAGAAGGGTGTAATCCAATTTCTCTCCTTCTCTTGATGTTTTTTTTTTTTTTTTTTTTTTTTTTTTTTTTTT